AAATTGAGTCGATGCTGATTGGCTTTTGCAATATTTTTTTAGTTAAGATCGTTCCGGACTTAACCACGGTCCCCGTTCCCTAGTTTTTATTGATCATAAAAAGGAGTTTTAAAATTTGATTATTTTTTAATTACCGATTAGATCATCCGTTGTTTCTCCAAGAATTGATTCTAAGTGATTTTAATTTTTATTTAGTTCCCAAAAGTATATATGAATCAAAAAAATAAATAAATAAACAAATAAATAAGATTATATCATATTAACTTTCAAGCTGAGGACCAATATCATCGGGAGAAATGCTGGTGATAGGACTAGTGACAGAAACAGAGTATGGATCATGCTTCCTTTTTTCAACCTCTGAAGCTAAATTCCTTTTTAAAACATTACTTTTAAACAAAAGGTTAGGATGCTGTTGGATTTTTCCAGAAGATCTGGTACGTGTAATGACATTTTTTGTTATTGTTGTTCTACAAACATTCGTCAAGTGCCTAAGAAAAGTCATAATCCCGATCGTTAGTCGTAAAAGTTGACCCTTAACTTTACAACAGTTTTTGTATCACAAGTGACACTTGCTTTTCACTCGATACAATAATCTGGCCATATTTAGATTAGCACTATTATTAATTGTGAATTGTTATTGCATATTCTACATAAAATAATGTCATCTTTTTCTTATCATGAATTTGCACATGTATATTCATTTATTTTTCAACTTAAAATAAAAATCTTTTCTTTATAAATCATTAACCCCAGATCGATTTTAATCGATTCGATTCAGTGTAGTATTAATTTAGATCTTTCTTTTATAACAGGTATCTCACCTTTCAATTTTTGAATTCAATGCATTAAAAAACTGAAAAGGGAAGGATGGTTACTTCAAATCTCTTAACCTTAAATATTGTAACTAGCTTTTTAAGTATCCACCGTAACCTTTTAGGGATGTATCATGAAAATAAAAATAAAAACCATGTTTTCGTCGAAGAAAAAAAAAAAATTAGTTTAATATTTATTTGAAAATAAAATTTTGACTTAAATTTTTTTCCGGCTCAATCTAAAAAAAAAAAAAAAAGGTTGATAAGAAGCTTGCTTGCTTTCCATAAATCAGTAAGGCTTAAAGGAATGTTCGTTAGGAGGGTTGGTAGGGATTTGCTCTTAGATTCATGTATGGATTCGAAAAATCATAATTGGGTAAGAATCGGGAATCTTATGCTGTAGGAAATTTATATTTATATTACAAAAGAATTAAAAGTTGCGAGTGTTTTGATGATCTTAAATCCCGAGAACTTCGCGGGTCAATTTTAAAAATTACCAAAGTCATACAACAAACTTACTCCGATAAACTATGATAAATAGATTTACTAATAAGGTCATTACAATCATCGGATAAATTTTCACCATATCGGTGAAATCGGAGCTGTATAAAATAATAGTAAAAATGCTTTGCAATCCAATCCAAAAAAAAAAAAAAAAAAAAAAAAAAAAAAAAATGGCGATAGAATTATTCCCAAATTTTTCACAAAATTTTTTAAAATATTTTAATTCGGCGGATGAATCAAACATTATAATTAGGGTAGGAAAAGATGATAATATTAAAAGTTTCAGAGCACATTCTATAATATTAAAAGCTCAATGTCCTTATTTTAATGCTGGATTAGCGAATGAATGGGCAAAGAAAGAAGGTGATAACATCATTTTCGATAAACCAAACTTTGATCCTGAAGTTTTTGAAGTCGTTCTTAGGCAAGTATTTTTATTATATTTATATTTATGTTTTAAAAAAAGATTTTATCAATTTTGGCATCTTCCCGTTACTTATTTCCTCCCCTTTTTTTTCGCGTTTCTATAGATACTTGTATACGGGGACAATAGTATCACTTGAGAAGCAGTCCCCTTCGTTCATTATCGATTTATTATGTGCGGCAGATGAGTTGATCCTTCTAGAAATGATTTCATACGTGGAAAATCAATTTCTTTTACATCATTATACTTATTTAAACGAAAATTTTTTAGATATTGTAACAATCGCGTTTCAACATGAACCATGGAAAAGGTTACAAGAATTCTGTTTGGATCATATTTGTCCAAATCCTTCAATAATTTTAACGTCAACAAATTTTCTCTCATATTCTGAGGCGATCTTTTCAGGAATTTTACAACGAGATGATTTAGTGATGAAAGAGATTGATGTGTGGGATATGCTCTTAACATGGGGAATAAATCAAGAACCTCGTTTAGGAGAATATGGTGAAGGGAATATGATTAGCCAGATAGTTGAAAAGTGGTGTGACGAAGAATTTGAAACTTTAAGGAATAGATTAAAGAATTGTATTCAATTTGTAAGATTTAGTGATATTTCCCCTGAAGATTTTTTCGTCAAGATTAGACCTTTAAAAAATATATTTCCCGAAGATTTATATGAAGAAATTTTATGGAAATTTATTAGCCCAAGAAACGTTATATTCGAGAGTCTTTTAAATAAAAAAGAGGAAGAGAATCAAAAAAAACAAGACGTTTTAATATTAAATATCAATACGAGAGAAATAATTCAAAGACTCGGAAACAACAACAACAACAACAATAATAATAATAATAATAATAATAATAATCAAGTATCTTCTTCATCCGCTGATACACATTTAATCAATTATGGTCATTTGTTACAACCTTCTCGTCCTTCTCCTATAGATTCATTCATAATTAATTTGAAACATGCAGCATTTATTGCAAGCTGGGTTGATAGGACACCTCACCCCTATAGATTGGCATCAATTCCTTATCATTTTAGATTGTTGCTCCGTTCAACCCGTGATGGGTTTACAGCAGCAGAATTTCATAAAAAATGTGATAATTATGATAAAACAATAACGGTAATTAAGGTCAAAGGTACACAAGAAATATTGGGCGGATATAATCCTTTGAATTGGAATGGGGGTGGGTATAAATCTACAAGTGAAAGCTTTATATTTAGATTTGAAATTATGAACGGAGGTAAAAGTTTTGATGTAAAAAATGGGTTTAATTTAAGTAGGATCAGAAAACATCAAGTTGACACCGCTATTTACAGTTATGCGAATTGTGGACCCCAGTGGGGCGGGAATGACTTGAGAGCCTGGGGAAGTTTTAATGCTGATTGTTGTCAATGTGTTCATTATAGGTATGAAAATGCCGTTAGAAATAATCCTGATTTATTTTCGGCTGAGGAATTTGAAGTTTTTCAATTAGTTAAAAGAATTTAAATTGCCAAATAATAACCAAGTACAGTTGACCCCCTATATAGATATCTCCTGTAAAATCACACCCTCGGTTTAAAGATATATGCTTATAAAAAATTTTTTTTTTGTTTTTTTTGGTTAGTTTTATTTTATTATCGAAAATCAAAATTTTTTATTTTAATTAACATTTTAATAAACTTTTTAATAATTGATAATTTATTAAAAAAATTATCTAAAAATTATTTTTTAAATTCTTATAATTGAATCACTCTACTATTATATTTTATTTATTTCAAATTCTTCTTAATTTTTTATATATTTATATTTTTTATTTTATAAATGCAATTTATTATTATAAGACAAATATTCTTTTAGATTTAAATAACTATAATCATAAAACTTTAACATAATGTTTCCTTTATCACTATTGATTATAATATTAATATATAAAGTTTTATTTTAATTAAATGCTATTATTTATAAAAAATTTATCTTTTTTTATTTTACAAAAAAAAAATTCAGTATTTTTAATAAGTTAAATATTAATAATAATAAGATTTTAAATATTATTCTTTAATTTTTACTAATATTATATATTTAGATTATTATTTCCAACATAACATTTTAGAAAGAAGGGTAAAAAGGTTAAAAAGAGATATGAGATCCTTAAAAATCGAATTAGAGATCTGAACAAATATGTAGAAAAGAATATTGTAATCAACTTAATATATGAAATATTAATAAAAAAGATAAGAATTCCTCTTATTCGTCTGAGATTTTGAAGAATCTAATTCAGTTGAAATATTTGTAATACATAAGGTCACTAAAAGTCTCTGAACACTTTTTGGATTAACGTAAAACTCAAAATTTAAAATTAAAACGAAAAAAAATCAATAATATTTTTATTTAAATAAGGTTTGATCTACATTATATACTAAATAACTAGTACTTAATTAGGCCTTCTTTTGCTTCAATCATCACTGCAATATATTATTGACTAAATTTTTGATAGTATGTATAAGAAAATCTCATCATGCTTTTTTAACATATCGTTCAAGTTCAATAAGATTAGAATGCAGTTTTTTTCTTTCACAAATGCTTTTCTTGATATCAGCTTACAGATTCTCAATTGGATTAAAATCTGGACTTTAAGCAGGTCAAGAAAGTATACACAGATAATTTTTCGTGTGAATTTTCTTCACAACTTTCGATTTGTGAAGGTGAGCATTATCTTTCTAAAATAAGCCATTACCATTAAAAATACACATATTATAGTTAGCATAATATGCTTGTAAAGGATGATAATGTGTTTAGCACCAGTTGCTGTTTCAGATAATAGGATAATAAATCCTAAGCCTTATCTTAAAAAGCATTTCCAAAATATTCGTCCAAGACTATGTTTTATAGTAACAGTAATATAAGAAAGATTCTACTCATCTTATGGCTTCTGCTATACTCTACTACACTTGCTTTATTAGGATTAGAAAAAGGTCGATTTGTAATTCTATATGACTCTTGCCCAATTGTATTTTATCCAACTTTGGTATTCTAAAGCTCATGCAAGACGTGCTTTCATATTTACTAGTGAGATTAAAAGTTTGTGTTAAGCAAAACAATTTCTTAGCCTAACTTTATGAAGTGTTCAGACAATTGTCTTAGCAAAAACATTCTGATTTATCTTCTTCTTTTTCTAAAGTTGTTAAACTTTAGCAATAAATAAGCAATAATTCTTTCCCTTGCCATTAGTTATAAGTTACTTAAGCCAGTTTCGTTGTAAAAGTTTAATAAGAAGCAGGCAATCAGAATGGGACTTTAAATTAGTAGTTTCTATTTCATTCATTCTTTTTAAAGTATCAAATGCTATTGACGTCTCACAACTGATAGTTGCAGCAATAATTCTATAACTATCATCACATTGACAGCAATAAAATATAATGCAACATTATTCTTTTGTTAATTCTTTACTCATTTTATTAATTTCTGAGAAAAATATTTATTTTGAGTTAAAGTCAAAATAAACAAATAAAATGCACATTTATTAAGTTTGATTTATATAAACAAACTTTAAAACGTCATATAACTATAATATTATTAAGTTAAATGAAATTACTAGCATAGAATTACACTTAAAAAGTGATGTTTAGAGGCTTTTAGTGACCATTTATAAGAGAATGAAAGGCTGTTTCTTATAAAAACGAAAAAAAACATGATTAAAGAAAGATCTCAGAATAAAACTTTCTAATATTTTATATCAAAATTTCAAAAAAAAACACTAAACAGTTAACTTCTGTAATATCAAAAGTATAAGAGATATTGTATTTTACATTTTTTTTATTTGAAGATATAATATATAATATGCATTATTTATGGCATATTCAAGCATTTTTTATTTATTAGAACTATTAGAATAGATTTACATTTCTTAGTAATAGATAAATTCCTTTATCTTATTCTTTTTGTTTGTTGATTGTAATATAGATGTAGCACTCCTATTCTATAAAAATGAGTTAAGCTAAAGAAGAGTAACATATAAAAAATTTTATAAAAATAATATACAGAAAGCAAAAGCTAGTTTATTTATTTAAATGTAATCCAACTAGAAATTTCATATTATAATTTACTTTCAAATAAAAAATTCAAAGATATTATGTACCTATTCTTAAAATTATAACACAGGATTATAAAATACTAAAATAAATAACAAAATTATATTCTAATCTAAAGTATCTTAACTTATAAAAAGGATATGATGATAGATTAATAACTGATAAAAATCTATATACAATTACAAATTCATGTTATAAATTAAAATATCTGAATTTTTTTTATCACAAAAAATTTTCTAAAATGATAATTTGTAATGTTATTTATTCTTATCTAAAGATCCAACAGTTTGATATTAGTAAGTATAAAATTACTTATACAACTATCAGAAAAATTAGATTATATCTTAAATTAAAATATTTTAACTAAAGCTTTGAACAGTTTGAATTAATCTGAAAATTTTTGATTCAGATCAACTTCAGTTCAGTTTCAGATTCCAAAAAATTCAATCTGAAAATTTTTGGTTCAGTTCAGATTTTTTCAGATTATAAATCTAATCTAAACCAAAAAAAATCTGAACTGAACTGAAAATTTCAGATTAATTTCAGATTGTTTAAAACAATTAAATTTATCATTCTAAAAGAATAATAAAAAAATCGTTCATTTGGAATAATTGAAATTATTATTCTAAATGAATGATAAGAAAATTGTTTGATTAAAACAATTAAATTATTATTCCAATCAAACAATAAAGGATTGTTCAATTGAAATGATAAAATTATTGTTCTAAATGAATGATAAAAGAATCGTTTAATTAGAATGATTAAATTATCATTCTAAAAGAATGATAAAAGAATCATTTATTTGAAATAATTAAAGTTATCATTTTAAACGAATGATAAGAAAATCATTCAATTGGAATGATTAAATTATCTTTTTAAAAGAATGATAAAAGAATCATTTATTTGGAATGATTGAAGTTATCATTTCAAACGAACGATAAGAAAATCGTTCAATTAGAATAATTAAATTATCATTCTAAAAAAACGATAAAAGAATCGCTCATTTAAACAATTGAAATTATCATTCTAAATGAATGATAAGAAAATCATTCATTTAAACGATTGAAATTATCATTCTAAATGAATGATAAGAAAATTGTTTAATTAGAACGATTAAATTATCATTCTAAACGAACGATAAAAGGATCATTCGATTAGAATGATAAAATTATTGTTTCAAATAAATGATAAAAAATCGTTTTAAATGATTCAAAATTTTAGATTAATCTGAAATTTTCGATTCAGTTCAAATTTTTACCAGTTTACAGTTTGGTTCAATTTCGGATTGGCATTTTTAAGATTTATAATCTAAACTGAACTGAATTAAAATTATTAGTTTAGTTTTAGATTAGCCTATAATTCAGACTGAACTAAATCATTTAGAGTATTAATTTTAACTGAGTAAAGGTTAGAACTGATTCAAAAATTCTTAACTGATTAATAATCTACATAGTTAAGCTAATTAAACTATATAATCAATTGGCTAATTAATTGCTAAGACATATTATGCGTTCTATATGATAAAAAATGTAAATTAGCTAATTTATTCTAGATATAAGTACTGATTGGTATTAGCAGAATTTTTTATGGAAATTTCATATAATTATTAAAAAAAAAACTTTAAAAATAAGAAAAACCCTTCTTAATAAATCAAATTTTCTTTATTCCTATTTTGTCAAACTTCTCTAATACTATATCTAAATTATTTTCTAAGAAATTATAGAATTTCTCAAAACTTTTAAAGGTATACTCTTATATTTTTATTAGTTTCTTCTGTTATTTCTTAATTAGTATAATTGATAATGCAAAATTCTTTCTAAATTGTTACTATATATTCTTTTAAACATAATAGTAAATTAAATATCTTTACAAATAAAATACTTGTAAAAGTTTTATTACTTTAATATTCTACTACTAAAATAGGATTGCTATCAATATTGAAATTTTCTTGTATCAGTATTAAATTCTCTACTAATTCTAATAATAACTCATATAAATTAGCAAGTATTTCACTTTATTGCTTTGATAGACTATCATTTGATTTGCATTACTATTAATACTGAGTTTTGCTAAATAGCTATTATATTCTTCTTCTTATATATTAATACTTTATATAATTGAGCAAGTATTTTACTTTGATTCATTTTATTATTAATATTATTTGATATTATGTTTTGATAAAGATAAAATATATTTAATATGAAAATTTTAATTCTAAAATATTTATTAATTCAAGACAATAATCATTAGCTTAGAAGAATTTGCTAAATTACAGATTATATAATAAAAATAAATAGATTACTAGGTAGATTTTATGCAAAATATTAATTTTAAAAAGAAAATATATATACTAGCCAGTAATTCTACTATTTTTCTCATACAAATATAAGAAAAATATAAATGAATATTTAGTTACAA